AACGTTTGACACAAACTTAACTTAAATTTTGACGACAAATCTGAAAATGAATGAAAAAAGGGGCGGTTCCATTTAAAAAACCAAAGTTGGTAACTTCCACACGTTTATGATACACCCCGTATATTGGAAAGTAATTTTAAAATGTGGACCTTTTAAACGTGAAAAACTTTCGTAGGGCGTATTTTCTTGTAAACTTCATATTTACTGAGATATCGCACTTTGACGCACTAATGAGCAACCCTGTATATAGAGATTTGTTTTGCAATTTTGAAGTCTACGTTTGATTTTTTTTGTAAAGCAAATATTGTATTTTTTGTTTAGACACTTGATTACTCTCATATTTTGGAATTAACCTAGAACACAACATTTAAACCTAATACTTATTTCAATATTTGGTATGACCTCCCTGCTTCTCAATGACTGCTCACATTCGATGAGGCAATGCTTTGAATACATTTTCCATTATTTTTTTCTTTTATATTTTCTATTAGATTCACTGGAACTTCGTCCCAGGCGGCTCTAACAGCGGCGATTAATTATTTGATTTTAATAAACTGTCTTCCTTCAGTATAAACGCGTGGCCAATATGACCAACCAACCCAATTAGTTCTCTAAGATATTTAAGTATGGGAAAATAGCAGGCCAGTCCAGAACTCAAATATTATTAGCAGTCAACCAGTTTTGGGTTATTTGGGCCGTGTGAATTGGCGCATTGTCTTGTTGCAATATCCATTTTTGATCCGGAAACAAAGTTGTTATGTTAGTAATTTGCGTTGCAGCAGCTCTAAATGATTTTGAGCAGTTTACCGACCTTCTAGAAACTCGATGCCAACTCTGCCTTCACTTTAAATTGCTGCCAAATCACCACTGAACTTGCCCGGCTGTTACGGTGAGCCAAAAATTTCTATTTCATACTTACGTCATGAAAGTCATATTGGAAACCATCAGGACCATCCAGGTAACTAATTTTCATCCGAAACAACGACATTTTCCATTCCTCTGTCCAGTCACGGTGAATGCTTGAAAACTCTAAACGTTCTTGTCGATTACGTGCAAGCAGCAAAGGCTTCTTGCGTAGTTTTCTTCTTTTTAAGTTTGGGCAGTCTTTATTGCCCTTTGCATAGTGCGTATGGACGCACTACTTCCACTTCGATAACTTATTTGTCTAGCTGTTGACGGAATGGATCGGAGTTGAAGAATTGGATGCAAGTCGAAGAATTACTCGACGTTCCCTTAGTGTTGTTGCAGTTGAAGTGTGTCCTTGCCGATTATTTCCGTAGTTTTCGCTGTCTTTAACTAAGCATTGATTACCCATGAGCTGCGCCCGATTTTTCTTGCAATTTCTCGTTTTTATGAATTCTCCTTTCGATAAGCTTGAATTCGCCTCTTTTTTTTAACGATAAAGTTTTACCGCGTCCCATGTCAATACCAATCACTTTTAGAACACTCAAATATACTTAAATTACTATAAGACAATTGTCAATCCGTTGTCAAGTGACATGGTTTTAGATAAGTTCTATTTGACATGGTTTTGTTTCTTCTACTTGCCTAGCGACCTACGATTCTAAAAAGTGAATGAGAGTAATCAAGTGTCGCACTATCAATTATTATAGATGCTTTTAACAATTTTTCCATTCTGCAATACGAGTGAATTAAACGAATTGTTGGACGAATACTATTAAAACATTGTATCCAATGATACATGTGGCTGTCTTATCAAAATTTTGTCTATTAACACAAATGAGTTCAAATGTGTTGGTGAGAGTAATCAAGTGTCGGGGACTGTATTCAGTGTTATACTTGCTTAGTTTCTAATAAGCGACAAGCAAATGTCATAAAAATAATAGCATGTTAAAAAATTTATAAGAATTTTAGGTGGTAATAAACCAGAAAACATAATGACACATTCATCATAACAACACCACAATGAGGGAAGTACGTGATAGTGACATGATAGTAAGAGGGGAAGAGGATTTGTTGGACAAGTAAATACGGCAATTTCTCGTGTTTTTGGTGATAGCAATAAGTGAAAATCGTCATATTAATAAATTGTCACGCTTAAAAGAAATTGTGCGAAGTGGTTTAAGTTGCAGGAAAATTGGCCTGAAATTTCCTAACCTGTACTATTTTGCACATTTATCGACAGGGACCAGTGGTGTGAGTTGTTTCGAATATACATTTGTATAAGCTAAGAGGCATCTTCGATCCCTACTGAATCGCTATCAAATGCTTAAAAAATTTGCGATACTATTATAGCATTTGTCATTTTAAACAATAATATAGATATAAAGGTCAGAAAATGAATTAATCACATTTGGAAATGTTTTCCGGGCTTTAAAGCCGTGGTCTATCGGAATTTCTTCCTGACGTTTCGTCCACAACTGCGGTGGACATTTTCAAAGGCGATGAGGCAGTGGGCGAAGTGATCTCCCGTGCTTTCCGACTAAGAATGATTCAACTGCTGGATTCCCAGTCGTATTTATGCCGCCCAGGCGTGTCTGCTCATGCGTGGGGGATGGGTGGGGGTTCCAACGCTTCGGCGCACATGCTTCGGCACAAACATGGCG